CTAATCCTTTTTTTTGGTTTTTTTTAGTCATGAGATGTTTCATGCTGGTTGGAGCCAGGATGATCTCGATCTTCCTGGAACTTGTGGGATTCTGCGCGCCTTTGGCCTCAAGAAGTGCTAGGTTACAGGCGAACCACCATGCCCGCCCAAGGTGGGGACTTCTCACCCGAGACCCAGACCCTCACCGGTCATTGTCCTCATCCAGCGAGACCCTCTCGAAGTGCAGGTGCAGCCGGCGCCCCTCAGCTGCTTCAATGACCCAACGGCAGGTGAGGTTGGGCCCTACAGCTCCCCCAGGCTCTGGGGACACGATGCGGCCCAGTGTGGCATTGTGGATGGTGCCACCACAGGATGCTGTGGGCAGAGGAGGGGCAGGTTAAGGTCAGCCTGAGGTGACTTGTCCTTCTCCTCGGGGCCTCGGCCTGTTTTCAGAGCTGTTGCATTCACACCTTTGGCTGGGATCCAGCCCAGGGCTGGCCTCTGTCCCATGGAGTCACCCCAGAGGACGGGACCTTCTCCAAGCATGAGCCAGGAGAGAAACCAGCCCTGTTACAGGAGAACCCCAAGATTGACACCTCCTAGGATGGTGACACCACTAAAATGAAGACTCTCCAGCTATGGATACTCTAGGATGAGGAGTTACGAGGATCCCTAAAATTGAAAGCCTCAGCTGGGAAATCTTTAAGACAGGACTTTCAGAATGAAGACACCACGGGATGGGAATCCCAGTATGAGGCTCTCCAGGACAGAAGCCCTCTAGACATGAACCCTAAGGATGGTTTCCTCTAGGATGAGGATGCTACCCCAGAAGGGACCTCCAGAATGGTGACTCCCAAAATAAAATCTCTAGTGGGACGCCCCGAGATGGAGACCACCCAAGGATGGAGACACCTGAAGGAGAGAGACCCTCTGCATAAAGAGCTCTGGCTGCAGACCCCAGGATGGGGACTCCTCAGGGTAGATAAACACCCCTTCAGAATGGGTTTTTCCCAAAGGTGGACACCCCTGAGATAGGACCCTCCCAATGTGGTTCCCAGGACAGACGGCCCCACCCACTGTGGCAGGCAACTCACCCATGCAGCTGGGGGTTTCGCCATTCCAGGATGGCCGGGTGCCATTGAGGCAGATGAGGGTCTCCTCTCCCTGTAGCTGGTAGCCCGAATCACAGTGAAAGGTGGCAGTGCCCCCAGGGTGCAGGTCCGTCACACTCACGTCCCCATGGGCCGGCCGGGGAGGGAAGCCACAGCTCAGGAGGTAGGCTGCACCAGACAGACAGGGGGTAGCAGGGCTCACTTTCCCATGTCTCCCTTTCGGACTGATCCCCCAGCACTTCCCCCCTCTCCTTTCATGCCAGCCTGCCAGGGGCACACACTGGCTCCATACTGGCGTACATACTGAGAAATAAGAGCTCCTCACACAGGCACCTTGCCTCACGAAGAGGAAATTCCAACATCCCTTATCTCCCCCACTCATTGTAATTCACCCCCGTTGGCCCCCATTTAATAGATGAGATATCTGAGGTTCAAACAAGTTATTCTGGACCCTGCTACTCATTTGTTGTGTGACTTCAGGCAAATCAATGAACTACTCTGAATTTCATCCAGCTCTAATAACAAATAGTATTTGCAGAGCTTGGCCGGGCGCAGTGGCTCCAGCCTGTAATCCCAGCACTTTGGGAGGCTGAGACAGGCGGATCACGAGGTCAGGAGATCAAGACCATCCTGGCTAACACAGTGAAACCCCATCTCTACTAAAAAATACAAAAAACTAGCCGGGCGAGGTGGCGGGCGCCTGTAGTCCCAGCTACTCAGGAGGCTGAGGCAGGAGAATGGTGTGAACCTGGGAGGCGGAGCTTGCAGTGAGCTGAGATCTGGCCACTGCACTCCAGGCTGGGCGACAGAGCGAGACTCCATCCAAAAAAAAAAAAAAGTATTTGCAGAGCTTGTTCAGCTCCCAGAGTGAGTCCACACAGAGATTTTGAGGTAAGCAGACAAAGATTATGTGACCTGGCTAGGTGTGGTGGCTCACACCTGTAATCCCAGCACTTTTGGAGGCTGAGGCAGATGGATCACAAAGTCAGGAGTTCGAGACCAGCTTGGCCAACATGGTAAAACCCCGTCTCTAAAAAAATATAAAAATTAGCCGGGCATGGTGGTGGGTGCCTGTATTCCCAGCTATTTGGGAGGCTGAGGCAGGAGAACACTTGAACCCAGGAGGCAGAGGTTGCAGTGAGCCGAGATCGTCCCATTGCACTCCAGCCTGGGCGACAAGACCAAAACTCCATCTCAAAAAAAAAAAGATTATGTGACCTGTTTTGCAGATGTGAACACTGAGTCTCCAAGTTATTAAATGTTTCTCTTTGCATTTTTCTCCCCTCCACACATACAGCCTTTCTTCCACCAAGGTACCCTGTGGTATACCCTCAGCTTCCATCCAGAAGAACCAATTGAAACTTTTTTTTTTTTTTTTTTGAGATAGGGTGTCACTCTGTTGCCCAGGCTGGAGTGCAATGGCACAGTCATAGCTCACTGGAACCTTGAACTCCTGGCCTCAAACCATCCTCCTGACCCAGCCTCCCAAGTAGTTGGGACTACAGGTTTGTGCCACCGTGCCCCACTAATTTTTAAATTTTTTGTAGAGATGACATTTCAGTATGTTGCCTAGGCTGGTCTTGAATTCCTGGCCTCAAGCAAACATGAAACTTCTTGAGGACATTTGACTATTTTGTCTTTTTGTTTTTGTTTTTGAGGAGGAGTCTCACTCTGTTGCCCAGGCTGGAGTGCAATGGAATGCAATCTCGGCTCACTGCAACCTCCGCCTTCTGGGTTCAAGCGATTCTCCTGCCTCAGCCTCCCGAGTAGCTGGGATTACAGGTGTGCACCACCATGCCCAGCTAATTTTTGTATTTTTAATAGAGATGGGATTTTACCATGTTGGCCAGGGTGGTCTCCAACTCCTGACCTCTTCAGATCTCCTGACTTCACTTTCACTGGGGGATTCATTTACAGGCCAATGAGTATTAAGGTCTTTAAAGACAAAATAATCTCTAAAGGCACAGTGGCTCACACCTGTAATCCTAGCACTTTGGGAGGCTGAGGCAGGTGGATCACCTGAGGTCAGCAAAAAGACCCAGGCCTTGTCCTCAGGAGTCCATCGTCTACTGAGATAAACATAAGAACAACCTTCTAGAACACAGTGGTTTCAATAAATGGTAGTCTCGGTAATGGCTGCTGCCAACAGAATCAAGTCTGAATGCTTTAGTTTGACATTCAAGCCCCTTTCACAGTTAAATGCAGCCCAGCACATTCCAGCTTCAGGGTTGAGCTTCCAAGACCAATATAGCCTACGTTTCCACCTCCATATTTTCGCTTGTGCTCTCCCCCTACTTTCTCGTGTTTTAAGAGATCAGACTGGGAGGCTTACGTACCACTTCTTCCGGGAAGCCTTCCTGACTCTA